CGCTTGAGGCGGGAATCACCAGAATCTGAGGGCCCAATTTATGAAGGTCTCATCCTTTAAACAGGAAACAGCTCACCATACTCCTTTCCATGTACATCCAATAAAGGTTTTATTATACTAGGTTTCCCTTCCATAGATTGTGCCTTTCAGAAATGCTGAGGTAGGCTTCCCGTTTCTTACCTGTGATGTGTTTTACCCAGCACCTCCAGATGCTCACCTTCAGGACCTTAATAAAGTTATTCACTTCATAAGCGTTCAAGTCTGTCTGATCACCCCAAGTAGCATGACTGACCTGCTGTTTAAAATTCCTGTGATCTGTAAAAAAACAAAAAAACAAAAACCATTTATCTCGGCTACTAATGAAGCTCTCCTTCCTTTTTTTCTGTTTTGTTTCATTGTTGATTGTGTGTTTTTTTCACTACTGGGGAGTACTAACCCAAAAGTGTCTGTCTCTTTGTTCTGTAGCCCAATTTCAGATTAATTTAGAGGAAAGGAATACTGTATGTATGTGAAATTCAGCTTGGGCTTTTCCCTAAATGCAAGATAAGGCCATGTATAATATTTTCCCTAAAACTAGAATATATTAATGCATGTGTGAGAATTTTAAAGCAACATGGTCAAAACAAGAAGCTATATTTTGCATATTTGGACTCAGCCATCCATTGAGAACTTATGTTGTCCTCTGGACATATTTATCAAAATAATTTGGTTCTAAATAGTATAAAATAGAAAATTTGTGATCTATATAATTTATGTATAACCTTCATTATTGTAAATTTAGCGGAAAATGCGTCAATTATTATGATTTTTTTTTTTTTTTTGCACCAGTGAGACAATAAAGTTGCTATTAACAGTTTTGGATCTTTTTTTTCTCCTTTCATACTATCTTGATTGATAAAAGGCATTAGTAGAATGCCTGTGGAATTTAGTAGACATTATCATATATTCATGGAGTTCCCTTATTCAACTCTAGTTTTAAGCACTTACTGAGCAAGGTACCTTCTACTCTTTCAGTCACTTATACCCATTTGCTTTCCTTAGCCTTATTTCGCTTTTCCTAAGGCATGATGAGTTCCCATAAACTCCCCAAAGGCTCCGTACCTGTATTAGTTATCTACTGTGTAACAAATTATTAGTGTCTTAAAAAACAAACATTTAGGGAGAGTGCGGCACTGGTAGCGCTGAGGCTGCGGGTTCGGATCCTATGTGGGGATGGCCAGTGCTCTCACTGGCTGAGCGTGGTGCAGACCACACCGTGCCGAGGTTTGCGATCCCCTTACTGATCAAAAAAAAAAAAAAAAAAAAACCCAAACATTTATCTCACAGTTCTCTGGATCAGGAATTTGGGAGCAGCTTAGCTGATGGTTTGGGCTCAGGGTGTCTCATAAGGTTGCAATCAAGATATTGGCTGGGGTTGCAGTTTTCTGAATGTTTGATTAGGGCTGACTTCTGAGCTCACTCACATGGCTGGAGACCTCAGTTCCTCTCCTTGTGGCCTTTCCTCAGGGGCAGCTTGAGTGTCCATAACAAGGCAGCTGGCTTCCCCAGAGTGAGCAATCACAGAGAGAGAGCAAGGAGGAAACCACAATGCCTTTTTATGACCTAGCCTTGGAAGTGATACACTGTAATTTTGACCTTATTCTCTTTGTTAGAAGGGAGTCACTAAGTCTATCCCATACTTAAGGGTAAGGGGAATTAAGCTCCACCTCTTGAAGGGAGAAGCAGCAAAAAATTTATGGACATTTCCAAGTAGCCACATCACTTACCACCTCATCAGTTGTCCTCCCGTTGTTAGATGTCTAGCACTTGTTAGGTTTTACAATAACAAATATTCCCAAAGTTCTAAAACTAGTACTGTTAAAATCTATCAAATATGCTAAGACTTCCTGTGTTATGTCTTAGTGCAACAAACCCCTTCTGTTCTTTGCAGGTGTTAATTTACCCTGTATAAACCTGATTATGGATTAGAAGTTAACATGTCCATTTTATTTGCAGGTTCTGTGAAATACAGCTAGAAAAGTAAAAAAGCTGTGACCCAAGAATACTTGAGTTTGAACTCAGTTGGAGAGGATGGGTCAGAGGTAAAATGTCTGTACAAGGTTAAAGGATCTCATTTTCTGGGTTGAGGTAAAGAGACCAGATTTAAAAAACAAACTAAAGCACTGCTAATATTCTTCACTTACAGATTTCTTTATTGAACAAAAATTGAGCAGCTACTATATGCCAGATACTGTTAGGCACTAACTGAACATAGAGGTAAATAAGTTATAATACTAGTTTCAAGAATTTTAGTCTGATGTGGTGACAGATCCATAGTGACAGAATATGATAAGGGTATGTCCAGGAGAGCACTGGAGGGCTTTGGGGGGTGGGGGTGTTGGGGGAGTCTTCGAGAGAGTTGTATAAATTCTCACAGAAGTTCAAGTTCTATTGGCTGTTTAGCCTTGTGAGGCTAATGCTTGACCTGCGGTCTCATATTTAATAGGTAAGGCGAGGCTACTCAAAGAGTGATCCGTGGACTGAAGCAAGTTCTTCAAATTCTTGCCTGTCTATAATGAGATCAATGTAAAAAAAAATTGAGTATATATTTAAAAAACTTCCATAGCAATTTGATAGAGTAATTTTATGTCTGTTGAATGTAATTATAAAAATTTGGGGTTTGTTTTGTATGTTTGCTACTCCTTTTTCTAGTAATCTTTATTGTGTCTTACAAAAATGTTCCTTTCTTTAATAGATGGGGGAAAAAATACTTCACAGATGGATAGAAGCGCTGAGTCAGGGCAGGCATGGTGCTGAATGCATTAAATTCCAAGACTAGGGGATAGTCCCAGGAGGACACATCTAGGAAGGTAATATGAGTGATAAGGGATGCCTGCTGTGTAGGACTTTTCTGCCTTCTCTTACCTGTCTCCATTCAGGAAACCAGTCTTCTTGGCCTAAAAATTCACGCCTCTGACTGGTCTTCAAGCCCTGAGATTGGTGGTCATTAGATTAATGAACTATGACACCACCCTGTCCATTAAGGGCACTGGCTATGCAGCTTAAAGATGTTTGACTTGATCAGACATCGAAAGTACTTTGAAGGAGAACGATGAGTGGTTATAGTACATGTGAAAGTCAGAGCCATTGAGAAGTGTGACAGACCACAATGAATGCATGGACAGTTGTGCGCTGCATAACAAGAGTTTGGTCAACAGTGGACCACATATGCAACGGTGGTTGGAGCAGTAGGCTATATCATGTAGCCTAGGTGTGTAGTAGGCTATACTATCTAGGTTTGTACACTCTATGATGTTCACACAACGACTAACAAAACATTTCTCAGAATGTATTCCCATTGTTAAGTGATGCATGACTGTACCAACACTGGCACCGAGGGGATTTAAACACAAAGTCCAGGGCTGGCCCCGTGGCTCATTTGGGAGAGTGTGGCGCTGGTAGCACCGAGGCTGCAGGTTCGGATCCTATATAGGGACGGCTGGTGCACTCACTGGCTGAGTGTGGTGCAGACGACACCAAGCCGAGAGTTGCAATCCCCTTACTGGTCAAAAACAAAAGCAAAAACAAAAACAAACAAACACAAAGTCCAGATTTCAGAGGTCTTCCATTACATTTGCTCTCACTTTCTGAGAATCCAAGGTAGTAATTTCAAGCAGAATGGAATTGGCAGGATTGAACTTTGATGTATTTGATGGCAATTCCAGACCACATATTGTAAGTGAAAGTTGGTGGGTGGAGAAATCCCTGGAGGCAGGAGGCTTTCCTGTTTACCAGGGTTGGTCCTATGGGGATGGAGGGGGATGGACAGCAGACACTGACTCAGTTGCCAATATCTACATTTGCTGCATACTCGAGTTACATGGAGTAGTGGCCTGCCTTAGGTTTGATTAAAGACATAGGTTTCATGGCTTGTGGTAATTAAAAGAAGTCATTTGGAAGTGGGCTGGGATAGATCTCATACTGCTGTTCACTCCTCTAAGGTTACCCTGCAGTGTACCAACAAAAGAGACTTCACACTTCCAAAATCTCTGGAGATGAACTGTATATTTTACTACTCATTGCAGTGTTTAACTGGCCTTAGGTCAGAAATGTCCTTCTATAACTAAGTAAAATCTTAAGGCTGTGACTTAAATCCATTTTCACTCAGCAGACAGCTAAATGCAAATACAGAAAAACTTGTGGTGGCTTCATGACCGTTAGGTATAATTTCTTGCATTTGAAATGTCACCTCTCCCAGAGTGATGGTGATGCAAAGGATTATTCAAAGCCCAGTTCTTCTCAGCAGTGAGAGGCCCCAAAGGGGTTAATTTCCAGGAACCCTCAAGAGAGCAGCATTCCTTGGAAAATAACACTGAACTACAGTTTTCTCTCAGTATTTATTCTCCAGGCCAGAAAGTTACAGAAAAGGAACATAGTTGGTTACAAAAAGAACAGTAAGATGATTGTCATGGTAACAATCACTAGGTTTAGCTGCACCAAGGACATCTGCCCTTAGAACAAGC